CACTTTCTTGAATTAAAAGAATTCCCATTCGAAATTTCATCCAATGTAATTCTTTTCTTAAGTCTTCTTGATTACGCCTACGTAAAGGATGGATGATGATTAAGGATCAAACTCCGTGTTTTGTAGGTAGTACGGTATGCAGTCTAGCTATTGATAAGGAATACATATCAGACTTGGCTAGTATCATGATGGTGAAAAAATTGGGATTACCTTTGCAACAACACACTCTAATTGGGCTGGCGCTATTGATGATCGTAGGTCTACAACTGGGGCATGCATATTTTCAAGGCCCAACCTTCTTACTTGGACTGCCAAAAAGCAAACCACCGTCTCTTGCTCTAGTACGGAAGCGGAATATCGGGCCCTTGCTTATACAGCTGCGGAACTTCGTTGGTTCGGTTATTTATTTCGCAAACTTGGCATTCCAGTCTCATCCGCTCCGTGCATCTGTGTCGATAATGTCTCAGTCATTCATTTGGCTACCAATCTCGTGTTCCATGTTAGAACTCTCCATATTGAGATCAATTATCATTTTGTTCGGGAACTCGTTGCCTGTAAAACTCTAGTAACTCGCTGTGTTCCATCCTCTCATCAACTTGCCGATCACTTTACTAAAGGCCTCTCTCGCAATCGGTTTGCATTTCTCCGGTCGAGGGTAAAGTGATTAACGTTGATTAATGTCCACACACATCCAGCTGGTGATTCTGATATATTTGGCACAAATCAATAGGTAGCAATTATATGGACAAAATGTAAATTTACCTTATACATTATTTCTGTAAATAGCCTGTTTGATTGTACAAGTATAGTGAACCATTGTTAATAATATATACTGGAATTTATCTTTGTTTCTCTTTGGTATTGAAGCCGGCCTACCTGCCCTCTTCATTTCCGAAATTCAGTCGAAACAAAGCTTTCTGTGTAGGTAGCAGCTTCAAATTCAATATTCTCATCAAAGGTATGAACCTCACAAGTCTTAAATGGCTCATACATCATGATATATGATCCATAGCTTAATAGAACCTCACCATTTCCTAATATAAGCAAAGGATTTGGCTTAATATAATGATTATTGCTGTGATCCAAATAGTATGGAATTCGAACTAGTTTAGTGCAATATTCTTCATTGCCATCTTCTCTCAAAATCCATATATCAATTTTTGTTTGATAACTCAAAGAAACACAAAGTCGCTCTCCCGAAACTATCAGCATTGCATCGTCAATCCCCGTTTCATACTTGGGTTTGCGTACCAATTCTAATCTATCAGTTGTAATTCCATGTGCCACAATAAACCAATCCCTCAGGTTATTTCTGGAGTATAGTACTTTCCAATGGATAGCTACATTCACAAATACATTGCAGCCAGTGAATACAAATCCAGGAGGCCCGTTAATGATTCTACATGAATCGCTTTTTGAACTGTACACCTGGACAAGAGTTTTAATTTCATCCAAACCATCAATCGTGCAACTAACTTCTACAACTTTGTATTCATCAGTAGATTCATCATAAGCAAGCCCGTATTCCGTATCAAATACATTGATACTAGAAATTGGAAATTCTCGGGACTTTCTTGTTGCTGGGTTCAAAATAATAACAGTATTGAGATCCAAAACTAGGCACACCAACCCATAGCAAGAACCCACTATCCGTAGAATAGTCACGGGGCCAAATAAAGGACAATCAAGCAGAACAATATCCATAGATGGGATTTCTTCGGTTTCATCGTAAAGGGGACAAGTGCAGAGATCCAGAGAATCAGACGAGCGTCCCAGAATTAGGCTATTGTGGGAGTATATATTGTTATTACTTGACATTTTGAGATGGGTTCTCATGAATTCTGGGTTGGAGATCAAAGATAGCCATGATTCGCAAACACACCTGAATTTCAATAGGGATTTCACAGGGAGTCTCAATAATATCTCTCTGATAATCTTTTGAGGAAAAATCAGCAAGAACTGGAGAATTCAGCCTCCAGTACAGCGTTCAGGGATATGTTATCTTTCGACAG